CTCTGACACCTGAGGTTGCCAAAAGGAGAAAAGGCAGTTTCTCGAGCTGCAGTAAAGTATTTAAGTGATACACCCAGTGCTTGCCTCCAGTAACAGTATTTTGCAGACCAGAAAAGTTGTCTGCATTGGTGCCAGCCATTAAACCTGGCTTCTGTTATCAGTAGAAGTCAAGGAGAGTGCTAAATAAAAGATTTTACTCAGAAGTGGATCTATCGTTCCCAATCCATCACAGAGATAGCAAACTGAATCTTTTTCTCCTTCATTTAAAAGAACTTAATTCTCAAGACAAGATTAACACATTAATTAACTCAAGCAATGGCAGTATACCATCAACAGCTTTCTTTTATACCTCATCAGTCCACTTAAATACCTGACCAAGACAGACTTTAGATATCAAAATAACTCCATACCCATACAAATTAAATCCCCAGCTTTTCTAATTGTCAATAAAGACTTCAAATGTGTATGCATTCTTTTTGTACAATAGGAATACCTGTAATTAATCATCATAGTCTGGTTACTAATATATATGCCATTTGAATTAGAAGGGAGTGAGGAATCTCATTCAACTACCTGAATTCCCATTTGGAGCTCCAAAACAGTTTCCAAGCTCACGCGTGATACTGAATTTTTACTCTTAACCACGAACTGCAGACTTTATATTGCAAACAAAAGCAGACTTATGTAGCTGTACATACTAGATTTGTGTCCAATCTTCATGCACTTTTTAAATATACTGTATATAGTAAGTAGCTATTTTCTCTCGCTTCCTACATTAGTGAAAGCTTTTTTTTAACTACAAAAATACTTCAATTATTACTGCATTCCAAATCTTTTTCAACCCTTGAACTCTCTCACATTCATTTCATTTTCTATTAAACTAAATGATAACAAAAAATACCATAAAACCATCAAGTACTGGATAAAAACAAACAAACCCCTCTCAGGCAACTTGGATCTCAAGTATTATTAATTTTCAAAAATTCCTTTATACCTAAAGCAAACCATTCTGTTTTAATGGTTCTAATTTTAAAAGTTACCTTATACCAGTCTCTCAAGCTTTTGCAAGATTGGGCCACAGGGTATAGAGGTAGTCTGTATATTTAAGATGATGTAGAGATTATTAGAACTTAAGCTATTGTTTTTTTTCCTTTCAAAAGTTAAATGGAAAAATATTAAAGTAGTCAAGTTCTTCAATGTTTACCTAGTTGCGTATCTTTCTAATAGTGGGTCTCACACTACTGTTTTCTAGGATTTCTGTTTTACAATGAAGTACCATATATTTAATAAGGGACTTTGTACTTTTATCCTGATCTTGCAAATCCTTTATCTTATTTAGTTGTCTATAAATCTTCAACAAAAGCTCATATTTATTTCTAAAGAAATATTAGCTCTTATTAAATCAAAAAGACTAAGTGAAGCATGACTTACAAGTAAGAACTGCATAAAAACATCAACTGTGGCATTTCATAAGAAAAAGATTTTTCTGCTGAACAAACAGTTTCATTAGCAGCCAAGGCTAATGGGGAACTGTGGGAAGGTGAAAGGGGAAGGAAGGGGATAACCAGAGATCCCCTCATAGTACCATTTCCTTTAGAAATCTTTACAATACTAGAAGGAACATACTAGTACCATTCTTTCTTTTCTTTAAAAAAAAAAAAAAGAAAAGTAAGATCTTACAAGGATGTTTAAAAAGGAAACCCTGGCATCTCAAAAATACATACACCACCCCGCCACTACTCTGTTCACCACTGTTTTTCTGGATGTCACTGGTAGATACTGCGAACACTTACAACGTTGTATAATGCAAGCTAGTCCTCACGTTTTCTAAGGAAACAAGATTCTGAACTGTTGATCAATATGTCTCTGTATAGTTGACAACTAAAGTGTAGAGGGGTTTTTTTTGTTTTGGAGACATCCTGCAGTTTAAGAGTACCTTGGCTTTATGTTATAATCCTCTCCAGAAAAACATTAACCATAAACTCTAGCCCATGGCAGCGTAATAGCTGTAGACAAAACAAGAAAAGTTTCTGATGTATTTCCACAAATATGGAATTTAAATGTCTATGTCCTTCAACATCCTCTAGCCTCTCAATATTTCTTGGTGTCCATTGCTTTTGGTAAAAATAATAAAAAAGCAGTTATCTTTTTTTTTTGGGGGGGGGGGGGGG